GGGGAAACCAAAGGAAGGGTCCGATTTGCATACTCTAGCTCCTCCCCCACCCCTTTCGGTCCCAGTTTCCATGGCAACTGGCTCCAAAAGACTCTTATCTGAAGTCACCTCCCCTTTTCAGTATGAGTGAATGTTGGCAGCCTACTCAGGCTCTGAGCTCAGAGCTCAATTCCTCATTTTAAGGCTGAAGAAACAGGCCCAGAGAGGGAAAGTAATTTGCCCAAGGGCACACAGCAGAATTGATGCAGAGTCTTACCTAGGATCTGGGAATCTTCTGATTTCCACTCCAGGGTGCCTAGCATCCTCAAAAGGGACATGGGAGCCAGTGACCATCATGCTATATCCATTCTCTCCTAGGCCTCTGGGGAAGATCTTAGGAAGCTCAAGTGAAGAAATTACCCATTGGATTTGGGGCAGAGACTCAGAAATAGAGGTGAGTGCTGGGGTCAGGGGTACAACTAGCTAGATCTCTCTTGGGGCCCCAACCAGCTGCCCTCACCCAATTCAGTCACTCAGCAAGTATTTACTACCTGCCTGCTCTTCTGTTCTAGGCCCCAGGATTCAGCTGTGATTAAACAGACACAAGTCCCTGCCCTGGTGGGGCTGGCATTCTGATAGGGGACAGAGACAATGAGCACACAGATTGAGTATGACATGATGTCTAGGGTGAAGGTGGTATTCAGAAAGTGGTCTGGGCTGCTACTTGGGTTAGGGTAATCTAAGAGCTCTTTCAAAGCTTACCTGTCCCTTGCCCCTCACCTTCAGGTGACCTATGTGTTCAGGTCTGATTCCAGTTCTCTTGCCAGGTGGTTGATGTGCTTTGGGTGACAGTGTCTTGGATCAAAAGCCTAAGGCTTTAACTGCAGAATTTAAGGCACCAAAGCTGGCAGTGGGCTCCCTTGAACCAAGTCAGCAGTTCCTAGCTGGCCTGCGGGCTTGACTGTCTGATTTTGGATGCCCCAGATGAATGACAGAAATGCATTTTCTGGCCCATAAAGATAGCCCTTCCCCTCCCCCCCAGAAAGGACAAGGGATGGGGTGCAGACTCCAGACCCACCTGCAGGAAGCAGCCCCTCCTGGAGCAGAGTTTACTTAACTTTTTATTATGGAAATTTCCCAACATAAGCAGAAGGAGAACAGTAGAAAGAATTCCCCTGTGCCCATTCCCAGCTCAAGAATCAAGTTATGGCCACTGCCATTTCCACTGTCCCTCCCTGCCCGCTGGCTGACTTCAGCATACTGGGACTGGTTTTATGAGGAAAAGGGGAGGAAATAATGGGTGGAGAGTTCACAGGGAGGGGGCTTGGGCATGAAATTTGCTGGAACCCTGAGAGCTGAGTGGCCCCCAAGAGGTAGCTGCACTGAGTGAGGCGGGAAGAGGGGCTGGTTGTGGATGGAGGAGAAGCCTGCTCAGGGGCCAGCCCCACTTCCTGCCAGACCCCGCCTCTCTTTGTTTCCTTTCTCCCATCTTTCCCCCCCTCACTTGCAATAAAAACATAATTATGGGGCTTTATAAAAAAAAAAAAGAAAAAAGGCAAATTATGGTGACATGCTTTAATTATCTGCCGAGCGAGGCGGGTGAGTTACCCGGGCAGGGCCTTGGAGGCTACCTAAAAATAAAGCAAGAAGCCTCATTAGATGCTAATTGCTGCTTTTGCCAACTGAAGTGAGATTTTGGCGCTGAGTGTCATTCAGTGCTGGGTTGTCTGGGGGGGTGACCCAAGCCCCAGGAGGCTCAGAGTGTCAGGGCCAAGCCCTGGGGGTGGCCAAGGCGGTACAGGACAGAAAGGCAGGAGGAGCTCTCCATTTCATCGAGGGTGCCTCAGTTTCCCCTCAGTGGGAGATGGAAGCTGGGGGCTGGAGGGGGTGGGGCCAAAGGAAGCACAGGCTGAGCTTCTGCCTGGGGGCTTCTGAGATGCCCTTGGTGGGGTACAAGCTGGGCATGGTGCGGATATGCAGAGGGAGGCTGGCTCCAGGCCTCTGTCCCATGTTGCCTCCACCTCTAGGGCTTGAGAAGGCAGAATAGGAGGGACAGACCACAGGACATTAGAACCCAGAACCAGCCCATGTGCGCTGGAAGGGACCTGGGTGCCAGCAGTCTGGCAGCTCCTGGGCTTCTGCTTGCGCTGGTGGCAATTCAGTCTTGGAGGTGAGTCCCAGGAGAGTTGGTGTGGGGACATTGCTGTTCCTTCCTTGGCTTCACAAACCCAAGGTTTGGCCCACACCCAGGCCACTTGGCCGCACAGCCCGTTCTCTAGGGAGCTTCCAGAGCATTCTCAGCTTCACCCACAGGAGCAGCCACCTGGCCCAGGAGGCACCCACAGGGCTTCCCCCCACAGCCTCAGAGCAGGTGCTCCTGGCCACCTCAGCCCACCCCTGCCCATTCACCCTCTCATCCTGCTCAGCAGGGCTGACCTGCAGGGTCCCTGTCCCCTCGGATCGTGGAACTTGTACACTTCTCTGCACCCCTTATTCAGGGGCTCAAAGGCCACCCCCTACTTAACCCACCTCATTGCCATAGTGATTTGGCTTTGGGACATCAGCCTTTCTTCACTCAGCATGGCTCCCTGGGGGCTGCCACCCTACTTAGATGGGAAGCCCCCCGAGGGCAGGGCTGTTTCTCCCCACTGACAGAGGACTGAAGCCCCTTGAGGGCGGTGCCTAGCTGCCCTTCACCTGTGCCTTTTCAGAGCCCCCAGTAGGCTAGCTTCAGCCCTTGCTAGGATGCCTAATGGCTGAGCCCCAGCAGGCCACCCGGTCCCCACAGGCCTCCTCTCCCTCCTCCCCACTGGGAGAGACCTTGGATGTTGGCCTCTGCTTCCTTCTCAGCCTCCACTCCCCTCCTGAGTGCTGAGGGGAGCCCATGGGCAGCACCCCCGATTCTCCCCTGGAAGCTAGATGTGGGCCCTACAGACAGGGTGGGGATTGCTCCTGGTCTAACATCACATCCATGGCTGCAGTCCAGACCACCGCCTATCTAGCCTTGAGCCCCAGAGCATCAGTCACCTCAAGAGGGGAGTGGGCAGAGAGGGCAAGGCGCCAAGACCCAAGTGCTACAGGGAATCCCAGGGCCAAGCTGGTCACAGCCCTTCTGCATCCAACCCTCCCCTAGGCCAATGCTACCCTGAAAGCTTCTGGCAAATACCTTGGTCTGGCAACCTATCTGTGATTGCGACGCAACTGGAGGACTCCATTCTGGGTTGAGGGCTCGGGACCATCCTGTACAAGCAAGATGATCAGCGGAGACACCCCTCCTCTCCTTCCCTTACGCAGACACTGAGCACATATTAAGTGCACAGATCCTGTGGAGGGAGGAGAGTTTTCCTGAGCACAGCTGCATGGGACCCCCTGGCTAAGGACAGTCTCATTAAGGGTCAGTAACACCTGGCACCATTCAGTGTCCCAGCCTCACCTCTACTTGGTCCCTGCCCAGGTCCCCACCCAGGTTCTTCCAATCCCTTGGCCATAGCTGGCTGTGGAGGAGGGAGGGGTGCTGCAGGGGGCGGCACAGGCACCCTGGGCTTTCTTTGTATCGCTAGCTCTATAATTTCCGCTGGCAGGGCCCAGCCCCTAAGTCACCCCCTTCCCTACCTCCAGACCTGCTGGCCATTTGCCTGGGACAGGTCCTCAAGACAGGGCCATAATGCAGACTCACCCTCTTGGGCCTAAACAGACAGACAGACATGAAAGACAAACAAGCGTGCACACTGGGTGCAGTGGGAACAGACCAACGCAGCGGGGAGCCTTGCACCACACCCATGCGCCACACACACCACGCGCAGGCCTCCAGGATGCACGGCTCAGGGCCAGGACTTGGAGACAAGACCAGCAGGAGAAGGTGCCGTGGGGACCAGTTTCTTCAGAGGAAAAGGAGGGAGAGGTTCAGATTATAGGGTGGGCAGGGGCCTGGGTGTGAGGGCAAGGCACAGGAGAGGAGGGCGGGACGGCCTCCCCCTAGGGCTGCAGGGCAGGGGTGGGGCATCCTCATCACTAGAGGACCACCAGCTGCCAGTTTTGGGAATGTCCTGCAATGTCCTTTTCCCCACCTGAAAACCCGGCCCTTCCACACCCAAGGTTCTGCAGAGCACCCCGGATTCCACCCTGCCCCAGGAAGCAGCCCCTCGCAGTCCCCAACCCTGCATCTCCATCACCCAGCCGCTCCTCCTAACTCCAGGCCACCTGCTGTGGCTCGAGCCCGTGGTCCCACTGCAGGGCCCTTAGCGGATGGAGCCCAGGTGCAAAACCATGTGTTTATTTTTATTAGAAATGTTCTTGGTATAAAAACAATCATGCGCTACACATTGTCATCAGTAACCATCACCAGACACCCAGGCACTGAACTCCGTGTCGTCGGCAGGAGGGGCAGGCGGGCAGGCGGGCAGGACACGTGGCAGACAGGCGGGGGCAGGCGGGCAGGCTGCGGGCCACAGGGACACACACAGAGGCCACCAGGAGGACGCAGCACTTCGCAACACACTCGAGATTTGTTTTTGTTTCAGCTTTTTTGTGTTTTGATTTTTTTTTCCTTTTTTTTTCTCTTTTGGACATGGAAGATTTTGTGGATCAGAAAAGGATGGCAGGGTGGGGGACTGGAGGAGAATGAGAGGGACAGAAAAAAAATGCATAAGAAGTGACGTGAGGGGACGGAGAGGGAAGCCAGAGGAGCAGGACAGAGCAGATGGGGGGCAGAAAGAGAAGGTAGAGAAGCAGCTGAGAACCCAGGTGACAGGGACGCGCAGAGGGAACAATGGCGATACCAGAGAATGCAGAGGTGGGGACAGAGGCAGACTGAGAAGTCACCAACAGGACAGATGAGGCAGCGGAGGGAGAACAGCGCTGGGCCCCAGGATCTGAGCCCCTGTGCTTCAGGCCGGGCGGCGACAGTCCAGGACGCAGGCTCTCCCGTGGCCCGAAGCAGCCCCGCCCGCCAGCCACCTCGGGTCGCCCGCCTGGCTTGCCCAGGCTGCCCAGCAGCGATGGCTGGGGGCTCCGCTGTCGTCAGCACCAAGCCACGTCCGTGGGCACCATGGCAGGCGGGACCCCGCCGGGCCCTCAGGAGCAGCTCTAGCTGGGGGCCCGTCCCCGTGGGGCGCGGCTCCTCAGCCGCTCGACTCCGCGGCTGAGCTAGATGGCATGGTTGGTGTATGTGACGTAGGTCTGTTTGGTGGCCAGAGCTGGAAGGAGAGAGACCAGAAGGGGTCAAGGGTCAGGGGCGGCCTTCCTCAGCCATCCTTCCACACGGCGCTCTGCTCCCCGCCCAGGCCCCAGGCCCCCAACTCCTGCCCACCTGCCACGGGCCTCCTGCTGACCCTGACCCCGCTCCCAGCTCCAGGTCCACTGTCCCCGCAGGGTCCCCACCTCCACACCCCTGCCCAGGCGGGGCTGCTGTCCTGAGGACCTCCTGCCTCACTAACCCCCCAGCTCCACTGTGGAGGCCACCAAGCCACTGTCACTGCCTGGCCCCACCACATACTGACGTCATGATCTTATTGGTGGTGCAGCTGTGTGACCTTGAACTCCTGCAGAGGGGAAGTCTTGCGGAAGACAACCGCAAGGCGCTGTGGGAGAGCACGTGTGAGGAGTGTCCCTTAAACACATGGGCAGTGGTGGGAGGAGTGAAAACCAGAGGGCGCCTCGCTCTGGCGGAAACAGCCTCAGAACTGAAGTGGCCCTCTGCCCCAGGGAACTGCAGGGCCCCAGCCCCGGGCCTCTGGGCCTCTTCCTTTCCATTTCTTGGCGCCCCGTCCCCTCCTCCAGTCTTGAGACCTCTTTGTCCGCCTGTCACTCATCTACCCCACAACTGGGGATGGCCTGGACCTCTGGGTGTCTCCTGTTTCCTGGCCACAGTCCCCAGGACCCTCTCCCCACAGATCCCAGTCCAGTGTCAGCTCTAAAGCCAGATGTTAACCTGAGTGTCCCCTGCCACAATGGATGACAGAACTCACAGCGCCTAGTGACAAGGCCAAAGAAGTGCCACCCCATTTGACAGAGGAGAAACTGAGGCCAGAGGAGCAAGGGTTCCCGCCAGACTTCAGCTTTGTCCTGTCCCACCAGGGTTCAGGCTCTGTCTCAGGGGTTAGTCACCAAGGGCAGCACTGCTGCCTGCTGAGGGGCTGTCTGCAGGCTCAGAAGGAAGAAGCTGCCCTGACCCTCTGCTGGGCTCTTGTCAGCTTGGAAGAGGAAGCACACCTGCCAGCTGAGGAGGGGGACATCTGGCCTAGAGAAGAGGAAGCCAGGAGACCAGTGTGCTGGTCTGCAAGGCGTCCCCAGTGCGCCTGCCTGCCTGCCTTCACTGGGGGCTGCGTTACCCAGCCTCCCTGGCAGCGAAGTGGGGCCTCCCGTGGCTACAGTCTTGCAAATGAGATGAGGGAAGGGACTTTGTGCAAACTTCTAACTAAAGCAGAGTGTGTCCCCTGGACTTCCTCTTTTCCCATCTTAGAAGGGACACTGTGGTCAGCTAGCCTCAACCCACTGGGAGCCAAAAGAACAAGATGGAAGGAACCTGGGCCCCACTCCGGCCCCCATCAGGTACATTTAGGTCACAGAGAAACAAACATCAGTCTAATTTGAGTCTCTGTTCTGTTCTGGGACCTTTTTGTCATAGCAGCTTAACCAAACAAGTACAGGCAGCACTGCTGTGTCCACAGGGCCCATCGTGTGTGGAGGGAAAGGGGCGAGCTGGGGCCACCATGGGAACAGCAGGGAGGCAGGAGGACCAGATTCCAGCCTGGCTGGAGGAGCTCTCTCCTGGCCAGAGCTGGGAGCGTGCCTGTCACAGCAATGTTCAAGCAGAGGATGAACAGTCACCGTCCGCCCCCTGCTTGGCTGGGTCTGTTCCCTGCCTGCACCGAGAGCAAGTGCGGTGGCCCCTTTTGCTGAGGCTTCTTTTCCTGAGGGGCTGCCAACCACCTCCTCCACCCCTCCCAAGCCCCCATGGTCAGAAAGAGGCTGCGGCTGGCTCTGCCAACCCCTGTAGCAGGCCCGGCCACTGAGAAGCGGCCCCCCAGGGTGGGCTCTGACACCCCTGGGTGAACTGAAAAAATTGAGTTCCCAAACCTGTAAAGCCCTCCAGCGGCTCCTGGCTCACAGGTAGGAGAAAAGCTCAGCAGCATCCAGACCCCTGGCTGCAGGGGACGCCAGCTGAGCCTGCTGCACCAGGACAGAGGATCAGCTAGGCTTTCCCCCATGGTGTCCTCTAGAAAGGCCAGTTCACGGGCTCTGGCACCCAGGGGAGGCGGCCCTCAGCTAAAAGCCAGGGCCTGAGTCCCTCAAGTGAGCCTCAGTCTCACCAGCCAGAAAATGGGAGCCGTGTGTCCACCTGGGCCCCTGAGCTCCATGCAAGGCTCAAAGAGAGTCCGCCCAGGAGCTGGGGGACCTGGCCAGCCCTGGCCTTGACACAGCATCTGCCAAAGGCCATATGTCAAAGTGACCCTCTCAGAGCTGCACTTTGCCCATCTGTAAATGGGTGATGATAAACCCCATGGCTGGCTCCCAGCCAAGAGTGGATTAGACCCTCCAGAGCCTACAGAACGCTGGGCAGAGGGCAGGGCAAGAGGCCACACTGACAACGGGCACAGTGACACTGTGGAGCATCTTCAGGAGAGTGAAGGGGCAGGGGTATGGCAGAGGGCCACGGCCACCCCTGACTGATGACAGGCCTCCTTGCTGTTCTCTAGGAACTGGAGGCTCAGATGACAATTAGCTGGTGGCACACGGTGTGAGCTGACAGTCCCCATTTGTTGCCCCATGTCCCCGCGCCCAATCTGCCTGCAATCAGGCCCTCAATTATTTATTCTGTTGTTTGTTTAAAGATACGCGGCCTGCCAGTGACAGAGTGAAAAATGTCCCTGCTCCACAAAAGTGACACCTCCCCTCTCCTGCTCGAACTCCCCCGGTCTGGCTGTCCCAGGAATCCGTCGCTGGATGCCTGCGTGACCTCTGTCACTGCACTGAGAGACACCGAGGGCCGGGCACCTCGGCCTCCGTGGCAGGGCGCCAGTTCTCAGCCGTCCCCCACAGGAGCAGGGGCCGGGATGCTGCCCCCGCTTCAGGCGACCAGCCAAGCAGACGCAAGGACAATGTCAGTGTTGAGCCATCACAGCTCTCCTGGAGGCCCCTGCCCCCAAATGTCCCCTCTGGCTGTCACAGCACCATTACTGTCCCCCTCTGGGAGCGGCTCTCAGGAGCACTGGGGTGAAGCCGACGGGCACAGCAGGTCCTGCCCCAGCACAGGCTCAGGGCCTGGGACGGGCAAGTCTCCGGGAGGAGGGAAACTGGGTGGGTGCAGGAAAGGCTCTGCCTCTGGGCCCTTCCTGGCTAGACCTGGGGAGGGCTTGGCATGGGGATGCTGGACATCCAGGTGGACGTGGAAGGCCAGAGCGGAAGTCCTGTGAGGACGCTCTGCCCTTTCCCATCTTGGTATGGAGGGCTAGGGAGGCACCTGAGGGGAGGCCCAGGGTCACAGTGGGAATAATGAAGGGTAGGACTGGAGGGAACCAGACTCATGAGGGTATCAATCAAAGGGGGTGGTGTCAGGAGCCAGGCATACTGCTCCACACAGAAGGTGGGGACCACAGACAGGGAGGCCTCGTGAGTCAGAGCCAAGGAAAAGACACCACGGTAGGGTCTGCTAGTCGCCATCTTGCTGTGTGACTTCAGGAGAGCCACTCACCCTCTCTGAGCCTCAACTCAGGATCAAACCTCTCGCCCAACCAGGGCCTCTCAGGACCTGTGAAGATCACTCAGTGGGGAAAGGACTCTGAGAGTGAAAAGCCCCATTTGGAAGTGGAGGAGACTTGCCTCCCTTTCAGTTACGATTTATTCTGTCAATGCGCTAAACATGGCTGAGGAGGGAAGGAAGGTGCTTCATCCAGGGTCTCAGGATGGACCCTGCAAGATGCTGCCCCACCCAGACAGCCCGGGCGGAAGGTCTCCTGTTTCTCCCAACCGTGAGGTGAATCACCAACCAAGGGCCTCCTCTCTCAAGCTGGGCTCAGGGCCTCCTCAGGGTCCAGCCCACGCTCCAGCTAAGCAACTTAGCAAGATGGCATCTCAAAATTTAAAATAAAAAGGGCTGGGGGTGTGGCTTGGTAGTTAAGCACCCAGGTCCAATCCCTGGTACCAAAAAAAGTTCACTTCTGGACCTTCCCCAGCACTAGAGGGAGGGAGCCCAGGGCCTCTTCCCAGGTCCCCCCAGGGTGGAAACCTGTGGGAAGAAGGGCTCCTGACCCCAACCCGACAAAAGCCTCCCAAGACTTGAGTGGGGGAGGATGCAGAAGGAGCTGCCATTTGGGCCACTTTCAGGTCCAGGGAGGGAGCCACGGCCTGCAGAGGATCCGGGTGACCACAGCCACCTCTCTGTTCCACACGGCCCCAGAGCAGCTGGGAGTGAGGCCTGGGGAGGCCCTGTGGCTGCGAGGGCAGAGGACCCCATCTGTCTGAGAAGGCAGAGGCAGCAGGTGGCTCGGTGACCCTCCCCTCCTGGTCCTCATCTGTAAACATATGATGTCAAGTGCCACCTTTCAGGTGCCTGCAGGACAGGAGCATCAGGGAGTAGGCATGGCCCGACTTCGGGGACTTGTCCTGCCACGTCCTCGCACCCCACCCCCGCTCCTGGCTGCCCCTGCTCCCCACACCGAGGGCCGAGGGCCGGCTCCACCAGGAAGAAAGGCACCGCTGCCTCCCTCTGGAGCCCTTCACCGGGGCTGCCCTGGGGAACGAGGTCCTTGCTGCCCTCCCTCCGGTCATCCTGGGTCTGCGGCTCGGGTTCTGCGACTCAGGCGTCTCGTCCTGGAGAGAAGCTCACACACACCGGGCAAGCATGACCTGCCCCTGCTGAGCCTCCTGACAACCCCCTGGGTCACGCTGCCACCTGAGAACCTCAGCCTCTGTAGGTCCCAAAGCCCAGCCCGCCCCTCACTCACCTGTCCTGGCCGGCCCATGTCCTGGGTCCCCATCTCTCAGGGCCCTGCTAGGGGGCTGCTGGACAAAGCCAAGTGGGGTGTTACAGCTGCTCTGGCACCAGAGCCCCTCCCAGGTCACCAAACGGCCAGTGGCAGGGCCCCCCTGAGCAACCCGTCCTCCCTGAGGGACTGGAAGGGTAATTCCGGGGTCCCACTGCCAGCATTACCACTGCTAGAAGGGGGCGGGCAGCACAGGGTTCAGGGGACTCTGCTCTCCCAAGGCCACCAGGATGGGCGAGACAGCATGGGCTTCGACCTGGTGCCCAAGCTCTCCCTGAGCCCCCTCCGGACTGGTGCTCGTCTGTGGCCTGGGGGTGCTCCGAGTGTCCCCCAGAGATGGCAGCCAGGGGCTGTGGCCAGGAGCGCCTCCCCAGAAGAGGCGGGGCTGGGCGGGTCCCGGGGCCAGGGCCGGGGTGGCCACTCACCTGGGGCCTCGAGGTTCTCGCAGAGCTCGGACTTGGCCTCCCCATTGGGACGGAAGTTGCCCTTCTGCGTGAACTTGTTGGACATGGTGGCGGCGGTGACGACGGCTTTGAGGCTGCGCTTGCGCTTGGGCACGTTCTGCTCCGGGTGGAAGAGGATGATGTAGACCTTGGGCATGTAGAGCATTCCCAGGGACACGGAGGCGCTCAGGCTCACTGAGACTGTCAGCGTCGTCGTCTGGATGTACAGCTGCAGGTGGCCGGATGACAGCATCAGACCCAGCTCTGCCCGGGCCTCCCGGCCCGGACCCTGCCCAGGACCCACCCCAGTGTCTGCTTCAGGGGACAGACCTGCCTGTGTCTGCTGGCTTCAGGCAGCTGGACTTTAGACCAGAGTTCCTGGACTCCAATCTGGGCTCCAGCTGTGATCATGGGCAAGTCAGGTCCTTGTGCCCTACGGGGACCATGATCCCAGCACTCGCCCCTCAGGGCTGTTGGGTGAAGCACCTGACCTAACACTAAGCGTGGGAACCCTGCCAGTCAGGTGAGTGCAACGGCATTGCCACAGCTGCATTCTAGCTGGGGACATCCTTGAGGAGGGCCCCTTATGGGACCACGGCTGACCTTCTCAGGAATGGTCCCCCGCACAGGACAGAGGGTGACAACCACCTGTTGGTACCTTGAAATGACTCCAAGAGGCCGTGCCACCACCTGCAGACCAGCCCCTCATTCAGTGACTGTCCTCCTCCCCAAGTGCCAGCCTGGGAGAGCAGGCCCTTGGCATGGGACCCACGGCACCCGGCACAATACAGCGGTGACAGCACAGTCAAAGCTCATTTCACGCTCATGTGCCAGCGCTAACGGTGACAGATGTTTAGTAAAATGAAAGCCCATTAATCTGGGTGTCGGGTAATCCGTTCTTCAATAGTGGTGCTTTCCAGGCAGGGCCAGTGGGCCCAGCAGCCCCCACCCCCACCCCGGCCTGGGGTTCCCTCCAGGGCTCCAGGCCTCCACCACCCTCTGGCCTCTCAGCCAGGACGGCGCCAGGGGAGACCCAAGCTGTGCCTCCCAGGTCCGGGGGTGGAGGACGCCGACCGTCCCCATCCTCAGATCAGATGGCCCACGCCCTGCCCAGGGCTGCCTCCCCAGGAAGGCTTCCCGGCCCTCAGGGACACCTTCACTTGTACCCAGACCAGCAGTGGGGGACATAGCTCTGGACTGGCTTCCTGAGGTCATGGGCCCTGGCCCCATTGGTGGCCCTTGGGGATAGGGGCCAGATGTCCCACTGTCATACTCCTCCCTGTGACCTGTCCCCAGCCTCACAAGCGCCTCATGACACTGGAACCAAAGGCCTGCCTCTCTCTGGGCAGAGTGAGCCTGCAGCAGACGCTGTGTTAGGGGTTGGGGCTGGGCTCCAGGTGCCACTCCGCCCTGGCCTATGGGGTGCTGGGCAAGTCTGCCCAACTCTCTGAGCACAGCACCTCAGCAGGCAGATCTGACTTCACGGGGACCGTTGCTAGGCAGGGCCCACAGTGGTTTAACGCCCTGCTGCAGCCATCGTGAATTCTGAACCATTTCTGCACAAAGGGCCCTGAAGATGGTGCTAACCCTGAGCCGTCATGGCGCTCTGCATTGCTCTGTCCTCTAGCCTGAGAGCCTTCAGATGACAAAACACAGGAAAGGCACAAAGAGACCAAACAGAGCAAAGGCGCCCTCTAACCTGTTGGGCCTGGCATGAGCCCTCCAGGCTCCCTTAGCCACCCTAGCTCTGCCCGCCCCAGCTCCTCTCCCTGCCCCAGCACCTGGCACCCCCCTGCACCCCTGGAGCCTGCTCGGCGTTGATTCTGGCATCCCTGTGTGAAGGTGCACGTGGTCACCGGGTGGTGGTGGCAAGTGAACCCTTCTCAGAGAAGCAATGGGCCCACAGAACCCAGCAGCCACCCCTGAGGGACTGCATTCGGGCACCAGGAGGGTCCTAAGGCAGGCAGAAGGAGAGGCGGCCACTGGAGTGTGGTGACTTCAGCTCTCTCCTGCAGCTCATCCCCGGCCGGCTACACGCTGACCTCCACCATCCCTGGTCACATTCCACCTTCATGAGGAGCCCTGCACGATCCTCACCAGCCACCGGCTCCCAGAGTGCAGGAGGTTGTCCACCCTGACTTGGTGGAGGCAGGGGCACAGAAAGAGCAGCCATTGCGTAGATAATGTTTGCGGGTTTCATGGGAGGCCCCAGGGGACAGTGCCAGGGGCTGGGCAAGGAGTTGAGCTCTGCTGCTCTCGGCTTCTTCCCAGGGCACCCCCTGGGGACAAAGATTCTCAGAATCTGTATGAACCAGACCATAAGCCCACACACACCCTGGTTGGCTTCGCCACCACGTCCTGCCCCAACCTGGCTGAGCAGTCACCCGCACAGTGGAGAAAGCCCGCTCAGGACGGCCCTGGTAATGCCCGGGGCTGCTGTGCTAAGCCCTGGAAATCTGGGCTAATGCTGGGAAATCCATCCGCCCGCTCAGCAGAGCGGCAAGACAGCTCCACTCCGCCAGCACCTGCGCTCCAGGGATAGGCCCGGTTCAGCCAGCACCCCTGGGACACACCATGCTCCTCGCACATGCCGTCACACTGCACACCTGTACTCCTGCACCTCTGAGCTCACATGTGCACACTCATGCCACAGACACCTGCTACCCAGGTGCACTCCAGCACAGCTGTGCAGTCACCTGTGTGTACCCACTCACATCTGCACCCCCACACTTGCACATCTGCATGCAAATACACTTCTGGGAACACACACTCAATCTGCACACTTATACGCACACTGGCAGCTAGGAACCCCTCGGCACGCACACTGCCCAACTACGTGCACAAAAGGGTACACTCAGACCTGTCCACACACACTTCTGTACCTGCGTCACAACTCCTGACAACCGCCCCACCCCCTACTGACCCATACACACAAGAACATGCACACCCGTGGCCACAGCTGCCGCTTGCCCGGGGGCTTTTCCTAGCTCTGGTGCAAGTGACATGGCCCAGACACAGCCCAGAGGCTGCCTGAGCCTCTAAGAAGGCTGGGGCCCGAACCCACAGGGACTTCAGAGCGTATGTCCACCACCGTGCCACTCAGAGGCCCAGAGAGGGACTGGGTGTCTACCACGGCCCATGCCCCCATGGGTGGAGCTGGACGGTCCACTCAAGTCTCTGTCCCTCTGTGGGACTGTGAAGGGATCATCTTGGGTTCTTTCATGGTCAGTGCTGAGGCAGCCTAAGGAAGAAGGCATCAGAGACAGGTGGGCAGCCTGGAGACGGGGAGGGGACGCTGGGCCCTCAGCCCGAGGCAGAGGGTCCTGAGACTTGGGATGACAGGAGCCCACTGGGGAGGGAGTGTGGCAGCAGCCGGGGATCGAAGGGGAGGCACGGGCTTCCCACCAGTTGCGGCCCCTGTAGTCCTGGCTCCTCAAGGAGGCAGGAAGAGGCCTCTGGTGCTGCCCAGGGTGATTTCTCAAGCAGCAACTTCCTGGTGGGTGGGACCAGCCACCCAGCCAGCTCCAGGGACCTGGTGGGCACAGAGGGACATGGGGCCTATGCCCACTTCTGCCCTTAGCAAGAAGGGCCTCCCACAGTGGGGGCCACAGAGCTGGGTCCCACTGTGTGCTGGGGAGGCAGTGACCTGGCTCAGACACAGGGGCATGGCATCCCTCACTGAAGCCAGGCCTGGTCTCAGACCTCAGGCCACTCCCTGCCAGGCCCAAGGTCTGTGTCTTGGAGCCCCTCAGTCCCCAAACCTGCCACCAGAAGACACACTACAGGTTTGCCTGAGCAAAGCCCAAGGGATTCTGGGTGAAGGACGCAGCTCCTGCCCTTGAGGGAAAGAAGTGGGCACCTACCAAGGATGTCCCAGGGCAGTGCAGGGGCAGTGGGGGTTGGGGGAGGGAGGGTCCTGAGCTAGACAGAGAGAGCTCAAGTCCAGTTGTGCCATCTACTGGCTGTGTGATCTTGGGCAAGTCACTTTACCTCTCTGTGCCTATGTCTTGGTCTATAAGTGGGGGTGGTGATACTTACTCTTGCCAGCTGCAGTAGGGTCTGGTGGCACATGACAGGTACCCTGTCCATGGCAGTTTTGCAGTGCCTCTCTAAAGGCCAAGCATCCCCAAGAGCTCATGCCTGGGCCCCCAGCTTCATGCTAGTCCCCAGTTATGTCTCCACCTGAAGTCAACCCTCTCTCAGCTGCTGATGTGACAGCTGCACCTGGAAATGTGTAGGTGCCCCAAACTTGGCACGTCCAAAGGTCCCCAGATCCTGCCCCACACAGCCTCCTGTCACCTCCCCTTTCTTAGTGCACTAGAACTCTGTCCTCCCGGTCACTTGGACCAAAACCTTGGAGTCATCACGACTCCTGGGCTCCCCGGACACGAGCCACCAGAAGCTGCCACCTCTTCTCCAGACACCCAGACTCCCCTGCGTCTCGCCACTTCTGCTGCCATCACCTCCTGCCCCCCACCACAGCGACCTCCTCACAGCCCCTGCTCCCATCTCACCTGGTCAGGGCCCACCAGCAGCCGGCGTGCTCCTAACCCTGCACCAGGTAGCCAGGTGTGCCCTCCCTCGGGGCTCTCTGATTGCTCACGGGAGCCGGGTCCCCCCAGCCCCTGGGTCTTGCCATCGGCCCGTTGCTTCTCTGACCTGGTCCCTCGCCCTGCCCACGTCCCCAGTCCCACTCCTTAGAGTCTGCACTCACTGTCTCACACTGTGACAGCACCTGGGAAGACCGCAGGAAGGCTCGTGGTCCCACCTTATGGTGAAGAACCGGCCAGCAAGGCCAGCCGGCTTGCTCAGAGCCCACGTATAGACGGGAGCCCAGGCCGGGAGCCGGGATCCTCGTCGGCCAGGGTGCCTGGCCTCAGTGACTCCCAGCCCTTCCCAGTTACCCAGGCAGCGCCGGGCTGTGTGGGCAGAGTCCACGGGGGCCTCGGTGTGCAGACCTCAGGCCAGGCAAACGGCCCTCAGCTGGCACTGCCAGGGCCCGGGCTGCTGGGCCTCAGGGCAGCTTGGAGCTGGCTAGAGAGGAAGTGAACCCCTGAGACACGTCACACCTCCAAGTCCCAAGCACTCCCAGCTGATGGAGGGAAGGGGGAGGGGAAGGGAGGGCCAGGCAGGCAGGAAGAGGGGGAAGGGAAGGGGAAGGGGACACAGAGAGGGAAGGAAGGAGAGGGATACAGAGGGAGAAGGTGGAGTGGCAGGAAAAGGGAAGGAAGAAGAGGAGGCAAGCCCAGAACCCGGGGAAGGACTTGCACCCCAGAGAGAGAGGGCAGCAGGAAGCTTGGGGGGCAGCCTGGGAAGCTGCCGTGTCCCCACCCCCCACCCGCCCTCCATCCATCCCCTTTTCCCCCTGCCCCCCCCCCCCCCCTCCTTCCACCCCCTCTCCCCCCCGGCCCCCCCCAGGCACCTTGTCCGCGGACTGCGAGGTGCCAAAGAAGATGGGGATGAAGGCCAGCCAGACGATGCAGGTGGTGTACATGGTGAAGCCGATGGGCTTGGCCTCGTTGAAGGTCTCGGGCACGCCACGCGTCTTGATGGCGTACACGGTACACGTGACCATGAGCAGCATGCTGTAGCCCAGCAGGCAGATGAGCGACAGGTCCGAGATGTCGCACTTGAGCACCCCCCTGGCGAATCGGGGATCGAGCGTCCGCTGGTCCTGGAAGTCCACCACCGAGTGGGAAGGGTCCACGACGAACCACACGCAGATGCCCAGCAGCTGCAGGGAGATGAGGCTGAAGGTGATGGCCAGCTGCGAGGCGGGGCTGATGAAGCGCGGGGCGCTGACCGACCGCTTGCCCTGCTCGAAGATGCGGTAGATGCGGTTGGTCTTGGTGAGCAGCGCGGCGTAGCTGATGCTCATGCCCAGCCCCAGGAAGATGCGGCGCAGGGAGCAGGTGCCCAGGTCTGGCTCGGCGATCATCAGGAAGGTGGTGGCGTAGCACAGGAAGATGCCCGCCAGCAGCACATAGCTCAGCTCGCGGCCCGAGGCCTTCACGATGGGTGTGTCGTTGTAGCGCACGAAGGTGACCACCACAAACAGCGTGGCAGCAATGCCCACCACGGCCAGGAAGAGGGGCAGCACTGCCCAGGGCGAGTCCCACTCGAGCTTGATGATGGGGATGGGCCGGCAGCCCGTGCGGTTCTCTGTGGGCCTCATGTCGTAGGGACAGGTCTTACAGGTGTAGCGGTCCACCTGGTACTGGTACCCTGTGCAGGGCTCGCAGTGCCAGCAGCAGGGCATGCCCTTCACCGTCTTCTTCCGCTCGCCCGGCTGGCAGGGCAGGCTGCAGATGGAGCGGGGCAGCTGCTGCCCGCTCCCCGGCCAGTGCATCCTCTCTGTCTGGCAACAACAGCACCACAGAGTGGACCTCAGGATGTGCCACCCAGCGCCCCACCCACCCCACAGGGCACTGCCCCACACCTGCACGGGCCAATGAGTTGGCTCAAAATGCAGCTGCCTGGATCCCACCAGGACTCACTGCATCGGACAGCTGGATTTAAACAAGCTCCGGGCAAGACACTGACCTGGGGGCAGCCCAAGTGACTCCAAAACTCTGAAGACTCCTATGGAGACACTGCGCCCAGAGAGCAGTATGTGACAACCTAGTGTCACATGGAGGCTCGACAGCAGGGCACAGAACTCAGCATCCTGATTCCCAGTCCCTGAGGCCTTGCCAGCAGCAGCGGCAACACCCAGGAGCAGCACCCAGGGAAATGTACGTTCAGGCCCACCCCAGGGACCACCCCAGGTTCTGTGTTCCAGCAGGACCCCACCAGCCCATGATTGGCAGGCACTTCAGAGCAGGAGATGCGCTGCCCCAGCTCAGCCCGTGGCACTTCCACCCAGCGGCAGAGGGAGCAGGCCGCACAGAGAGTAGGAGGAACCAGGATTTAACCAGAGGACGCTGGACGGGCGCCCAGGGGGGTAGCGTTTCCCTACATCCTGCTCTAAATTAGCACTGCTCACATTCCACGTCTCTGAAGATACAAATGCTGGGAGCAAAGAAGTCACAGAGTGCTGTCGCGCCCTGCTGAAGGTGCCACAACATCTGGAAAGTAAACACGTGGCCCCAAAGAGCCGAAGAGGCCCGTGCTGGGCAGAGGGAGCCCGACTACCTCGGGGCCTGGTTCAACGCGTTGCTCTAAACCAGCAGCTGTGGGGGGAGCTCGTTCCCAGGGGGAGCCCAGCCACCTGGCCCCGAGTGTGTGTGTGTGTGGGGGGGGTCCTGGAGAAATGTAGCCAGTGGTTTGGGGGCTGCTCAGAGGGTTTCGGAGCAGAGAAAAGCAGCAGGGAGGGTGGGCAGGGAACCCGGAGCCGGCCTCGTGGCAGGTGGGAAGAGAATCTTTATAAGAGGTTTGTTCTGTGGCTCTGGGCCTTATAAAATGTGTCGCCCGAGTAGCTAGAGGGACAGCAGTGACCAGCACAGGGTCTGGAGGAATGAAAAGGCCCTCATCACCCCTGCCCACTGAACCCCCCGCAGGAGAAGACCTTCCTCCCAGCTCACAGGACGATGGTGGGTGCTCTGGAAAACTCTGTGGTTCCAGGGGAAAGGACAGCAGAGGTGGTCAAGTCCTAGGATCACGGTTCTGTGGCTAAGGGACTTCACAGCCCTGAACAGGACCTTGGCCTCTCGGGCCTTCGTTTTCTCATCTGACTCAGCCACAGCAGGTAGGACGGCACCTTGCCCCTCCTTACTTAAGGGCAGTCCCCTGGAGGTCATCATGGGACAACTTTAACACTTCATGGAAACAGCAGCTCCGGGAGGACAGGACATTGCTGCCCTGGCTGCTGGAGAGATGGCCACACCTGGGCAGCCAGGCTCGGCTGTAACGAGAGGCCCTGGCTCAGCCCCTGGGGAAGACAGTGTCCGGTAGCCGAAGCCTCCCCCGTGGGTCCTAGAGGGCCCACGGTGCAGCCCAACCAAAGCCACCTAAGAGGAAAGCAGCCAGGCCCAGCCAGCCCACTGCTCCAGCAGCTGACCGCCATCTGGGCCTCCAGGCAAGGGGGACTGAGGACCAGAAGGGCATCACGGGCTGGGCCAGGCTGGGCCCTGGAGATGGCCAGGCTGAGTGCAGGGGCTTGCATTGCTCGGGGAGGAGTCCAGGGCCACCTCCACAGACCCCTCCCTTCATCAACCAATCTGGGCAGTGGGGACAATGACAGTGCCTACCTCAGAGCTGCCACCCTCACAGGAAGGCACTGTGCTCAGGATAGCCCTGGTGCACACAGTGCTCAGGAAACCAGCAGCCGGCCTGCTCTGCCCTCTGCCCCCAGGGAGACACCTCCATTGCCCATCGGGCTCCACCTTGCTGAGTGCCCCCGCCCTGTTCTGTCTGTTCACAGCCAGGAGCCTCTTCACAGGAGGGCTCTGGGTGCCCTGGGAGAGCTCCTTTGCCTCCCCAGGGCTGGTTTTCCTGACCTGTGTCCTCTGGCCTAGAAGGGACTACATGGTGCTGGGGGCTAGAGAGTGTCGCAGGAGGACACAGGGACACCATGAAGCTCTCCCAGCATGGTCTCCTCAGTCTGGCCCTTTAAGGTGTCACACTGTGCCCACCAAAGCACAGCTCACCCCTTCACCCTTGCAGGGCAGTGACATGTCCACAGGGGTGTCCCTAAGGAAGGAACTGGAGGTATTTTCTCTTCCCACACATGCCTCTATTTCACAGATAGGGACACTGAGGGCTAGAGGTAAAGCCACTGCATTCCTGGGTCATTCTGTGATCTGGGAAGGTATGACTAGGAGAACCCAGAAAAATGACTGCCATCTAGCGTGGTTTGAAGGGATGGGGACTCACTCCCTGGCCACAGCCAATGCCAGAAACCCAGCGCCTCTCCGTGCCCCACCATGAGACTTCACCCTCTGTCCAGACGCAGCCTCCCAAAATGGCCCCTCCCACCAAGCCTCTGGCTCGGTCTGCGTGTGTGAATTCCTCTCTCCAGAGCCCCCAGGCTCCCTTGGGGAGCAGCCTGGAAAACCCTGAGCCATGGGAGAGGACAAGGCACAGAATGGCAGCAGAACTCCAGGCACTGATGGGCACAGTGGCACACGCCTGTAGTCCTAGTAGCTCCAGGGGGCTTAAATAGGAGGACCTCAAGTTCAAAGCCAGCCTCAGCACTGGTGAGGCCCTCAGAAACTCAGTGAGACCCTGTCTCTAAATAAAATACACATAGGGCTGGGGGTGTGGCTCAGTGGTCTAGTGTCCCCAAGTTCAATCCCCGGTATGCACCCCCCAAAAAAAAACTCCAGACACCCTTTTCTATTTTGGGGTGAGGGTCTGGGAGAGACTGTGGCCTTGGGAGTGAAGGAGGAAGGAGGCCTGACTGGCAGCCAGAAGGGCTGGGAAGGAGGCCCGACTGGCAGCCAGAAGGGCTGGGAAGGAGGCCCGACTGGCAGCCACGCCCTCCCTTGGCGCCCGCCCACAGGTTGGGATGGCATGAGTCCCTACAGGCCCCTCCCGCCCCGCTTACTCTGAGGTGCAGGTGGTCTGTCCAGGAGCCAATGACCTTGTACTCGGCAGAGCCGTTGCGCAGCTGGTACTGGTAGATGTCATAGCGCCCAGGGGCATCTCCATTCTCATTGAAGGTCACGGGGTTTCCTGCGATGCCTGTGGGTGGGGTGTCTCGCTGAGCCTCTACACAGAGGCGGAGATATCTCTGGGGGGGCCCCTCCGTGGAACATCTTGGGGTCCCTCCTCCTGGAGGTATCTGAGGAGACTCCCATTTCAAACCCAGGAGCCCCAGGACTCCTTCCCACCTCCGCGGCCCAGGACCCCGGGGTTGAGCAGCGCCCTGCGCCACGCCCCCACCTGAGAAGTTGACGTTTCGGATGTACTTAAGCAGCTGGGTGCCGTCCACGGGGTCCATGCGGGGGCAGAGCCCCACACGACCAGGACACAGGTCTCGGTGCATGGCGTGCAGCGCGTGGCCCATGGCGTACACAGCGTCGATCACAAACTGCACCTTCCCCTCCTGTTCGTATGCCGAGTCCTGCCCAATGCGCTCACGGTCTGCAACGAGACCCCCAGGACGGGGTGCCTGTGAGTCGCCCCCATCTCACAGTGGAACTATAGTGGCCGTTGGGGCCTGGAGGGGCGCCCCAGCCAGTCCATGCACACATCAGGGCTTGCTCTGCCACCCCGGGAGCTGGACCTGCAGGGGCACCAAGGAAATGAGAGGGTGCACTGTCCTGCCACAGCACCACTCACGGCTGGGTTCCCCGGGACCCCAGAACAACCAGGACGCCCCGTCACCTGCCACCCTGTGGCTATGGAGCAGCTGCACAGCTCAGGCTAGGGAACAGCTAGGACAGGGCTGTGTCTGTCACAAAGGAGAGCCGAGCTCCCAAAGCAGCTCACCACGGACTGCACTCCAGCCACAGGACTCCAAGCTCACCCCAGGCTGCAGGTGGGGACATGGAGGCCCAGGGAGACTGTCTGGTCTCCTGATGCCCTCAGTGGTTTCCAGCCATTCCAAACACCTGAGTCACCATTATCCCCGGCCACTCCATCTCCACCTCAGTAACAGCCTCCCCCAGGAGCCAGGGTGGGAGAACTTGGCAAAATGGGGAACGGCCTCCATCACCCCCTCACTGTCAACTGCCACAGCCCTCCAGGCCTCGAGACTCTGACCTGTCCTCGGTGCCCACCCAAGCTCTGCATGCACCATGGCTGTGTGATGCTCCTGTGCCAGGAGCCATGCATGAAATGTGTGAGACCCAATCGACATGGAAGCCATTGGGCAGGACAGTCTGGTGTTGGGCATACCCACCAGAGAGAGGGGGAAACGGAGGCCCAGAGAAGCTGACAACGCTGCGAGAGCGCGCGGAGCGGGATCTGGACACGGACACTCCTGCCCGAGCCTGTACACCACGCTAGACAGGGAGGGGCGGCAAGCAGGTGGGGAGAGCAGGAGAGGAAGGCTGGGGTCGCCAAGGAGAGGACATGGGGGCAGGAAGACAAGAGGAGGTGGACAGAGCCCTGGGGAAGCCTGGCTTCACTCCCAAGGCCACAGCCTCTGCACACTGCCCGGCCCACAGTCTCCTCTCAAGGACAGAAGAAGGAAGTTGACCTTCATAAGCCCCACCCCCAGCTCCCTGGGGGGCCGGAAGTCACTGTGTCTATCTCCGGCCTGGGACATCTCAGAGGCAGACCCAGGGTGCAGAGCTCCCACTGCCTTTCCCTGTGACCTACCCCACCATCCAACCCCCCACACCAGGAAGGACAGTCACCACCCACAGCCCAGGAACGGGGCTGACTGGCCTGTGGCACGTCACCCTTCGGCCAGCCTGGTCACTCGGTTTAACCTGCCGGCCAGGAGCCCACACCCTGCTCGGCCAAGCTCAGGTTAGACATTCACAGATGGCCAGGTGGATGTTAGAAATTGTGGAATGACCCCTGTGACCCCAGCTCCCTTGGAAGGAGGCGGAGACAGGGAGACGGAAGTGCAAGGCCAACTCAGCAAGACCCTGTCTCAAAAAATAAAAAATAAAAAAGGCTGGGGATGCAGCTCAGTCGGTCAAGCACCCCTGGGGTCAACTCCCAGAGCTGCAAAGAACAGACATAAATAAATCACAGACGCTGGGGCCAGGGGTCACCTGCCCCCCTGACGTTTTACATCCAAGAAGATGGAGGCCTGGAGAGGGAAGCCCGGTCACACGGCCAGGGAGCTGGGCTCTGGCCACTGCTGAGTGCTCCTAGCTTCCAGACCCCACCCTGCCTCCCTCGGGCCGCATCTGACCCGAGGCCTCTTTTCTGATGTGACGCTGCGAGCTCGGCAGCACTATTTCTAGGTCAAGCACAAACAGAAGGGGACGAGCATGAGACACATTCTCCAGCTTCTCCATCTGCCTCTCTGTCCAGGGCCTCTGACCCCAGGTTCTGAAAAGCCAAGAGAGAAAGAAAAGGGCCAACCTGTGCCCAAAGGGAGGGTTCCCTTGGAAAGCAACTCCTGCACCCAGGCCCAACCCCATGCGCACCCCGACCCCCAGCCCCAGCACTCGCTCCGGCAGCTCCCACCACACCCGACTCAGCCGGAGAAGAGATCAATTATTAAGCAGGGACAGAGCGGGAGGCTGCGGCCACTGCAGGAAGAAGACAGCACTCTCCCACGGCCAAGGACACCTTAGGTGACAGAGGCTGGCTCCCCTCTGGGGAGATGCAGCTCCCCCACTAAGCCGGCCTGGGCCTCGCCTCTCCAGGGTTGCCTCCCAGGTCCCTCCTCAGAGGGCCCCGCTGAATCTCCATTCCTGGGTCCCTCCAGGTCTCTTGCTGGGCTCATAAAGCCTCCAGGGTTGCTGCTGGACGGTGGGCATCCCCCAGGGGCATCCTTGCCAAGAAGGCGCTCCCCCCCTGGGGTGGCTCCTGCAAAAAGGGGTCCGGGGTCCTACAGACCCTCAGCAGCCTCGTGCCCAGCCTCCTGGTGGTGCGGCCCCAGGGACCCTGGAGACCTCTGCACAGCTGCCCCCCTTGACCTGACTGTCTCAAGGCCAATCCTGTTACATGAGACAACCAGGGGGCAGTGAGGTGCCCTGCAAAGGGGACACCAAGCCATGAGAATGCATATTCTCTCCCTCCCTCCCTCCCTCCCTCTCTCTCTCTCCCCCCCCCATGCCCTCTCGCAAATGGCAGCTTGGACTCCAGGCCGGGGGCCCCTCATCTGCACCCCTCCAGGACCCAACAGTGTCGGGCAAAGTGCACTCCCACGGTGAGGCCAAGGGGAGGGAATGTGAACCCAAATCTCTTGACTCCAAAGGAGTCCACTTCCTGAACAGCCCCCGCCCTGCTCCAGCCCCTCCCCTGGGGTCCAGGCCCTGCCCCTGCCTGGCCAGGCTTCAGTGGGGTGAAGGAGCACTGCGGCAGGTCCAGAGGCGGTAGGCAGTAGTGGAGGGGGGGGCCTAGAACATTCCCTCCCATGGGCAGGTGGGGTCCTGGAGCCCAGGACCCGCAGCTCTGGGAAGGAGCACAACACGAATATCTGAGAGCTATTGAGGGAGATAAATTCCAGACACATGGCGGCACTGACAGCAGCAACAGTTTGAAGATGTCCTAATTGTGTCCCGGGGCACAGTGAGGCAGAGATGCGTTTGGCTCCGCCACGGGTGACAGCCAGCCGGGGAACCATCGGGAGGATTTTCTCCGTCAAACCCTGGAGCTGTGGTTACTACGGTGACTGCAGCCTTTGTCTGCAGGTTGTAAATTGTAATTGAAATGAGTTTTCAAGGTTGAAATAATCAGAGCCCTCCCTGTCTCCCCCTCACCTCCCCACGGCTCCCGGCCAGCCGAGGTCTGCTGGTGCACGCAGGGGCCTCGCACCAGGTACACAAAACAGTCACCCAGACGCACGTCCTCGCATCCACCCATGCAGAGTAGCCAACGCACGAACCTGCACGCATTTATGGAAGTCATACACACAACATGGCAGGAGTCTTATTTGGGAAGGCAAGGTCGCCAAAACCAGGTGGGGGTCGGTCCCGCTGGGGACCTCCAGGAGATCGTGTAGAGGGCACCTCAGGGTCACCCCATCTGGTCAGTCTCAGGCCAGGGATGCCCCCAGGAGCATTGAGTCCACTCATACCACAGGGTGTGAGGGCTGGGGTCCTGGGGACAGTGGCAGGGGACTGACAGCATCTGCATAAACACATACATGCTCCTGAGTGAGACCAGATGTAGATGGATGCACATGCCACACACACCTACACACACGAACCTGCCTCTACAAACACACACACACACACACACACACACACACACACACACACCAGTTTTTGTCCCTTGAGAAAACGTCCAGAGAGCAGGTCCAGGGCCCGGGGTGCCCCCAGGAGACCAGCTATGGGATCCTGGCCAAGCAGCGGTCTCCTGAGGCCTCTGTGTCCTCCGCAGACGTGAGGCCCAGGTGGTAACACTGGCCTTGAGGGGTTGCTGGTGACTGAGGGAGACCAGGAGGTGGCCCCCAGAGCCACACCTGTGCCCAGACAGCTCCCCTCGCCCCCCACTCTCTCCTGTTGGAAGATGCCCAGTCCCTGAGGCCCACCTCCCGCCATGGCTTCCCCACCCTGTCCTATGCAGCTGGCGCAGGCTGGCCCCAGTGCTGACCCTCATGGCCTGACGTGGGATGGGCATGGGTGCCCCGTGCACCTGGACCTGCACAGAGGGGCAGAGGGGCGCCTCCCTCCTCCCCACCCACCTCCTGCTGCGGCTGAGCCGTCCTCCCGCCCCTGACCCACCAGGGCATTCTGAGGGCCCCTCCAGTCCTGCTCCTGAGGCCAGGATCACTGTCACCTGATCCTGCCCAGGATTCCCAGAAGTCCCCAGCCAGGATCCCGGGCCGGTCACCCTCCTGCTCTCGGCAACACACCACAGTTTCTGCGGGTCCCTCCCTGGACCCTGGGGCATCTCCAAGCCACTCAGCCCCTCCTTCATCCCCAGCTCTGTCCCCCAAACTCGGCCTCAGCTCCATACCAACTCCCTCCTGTCCCAGGGGATGCTGGACCCCAGTGTCTGGGGGGACAGCTGGCACACACGGGGTGGCCATTTCATGAGGAAAAGGAAGCTCAGGAAGGTGACGAAGTATGCCCAGCGGAGGCCCGACCCGGCCGCCAGGGGCTCACCGTCAAGCCCTGGGGCTCTGTGGGGCAGAGGCGGCTCTTCCACCTGGAGCCAGCTGAAGCATTAGGGTGTAAACGACCCTGTGGGTCCCCACGAGTAGGACCCAGGATGACAAGGTTGGCTTCAGAGCTCAAGTCCCAGCTCTGACAGTGACTCTGACAGTGACTATAAATGATCACTTCAGCAGAGAGGTGGGGACTTTGGAGCTGGTGGAAGTCACTTCCGGACGCCCTCAAAATGAAACCGTGAACCTTACGGATCCTCCCGAAACACCTGGGTCCCCAAAGAGTCTGACCCCAGGAATGTGTCCCCAGATGCCCACGGACCCCAGTTTGAGAAGCAGGACATGATCACCCTCCGTCCACCTCTGGCCGGGCCTGGGGAGGTCCCCAGCCTCTCTGAGC